GGAAGCAAAAGGACAGATAAAAAACAGGCAAAAAACCAGACCCGGGGACTGAGTAGCGTTGGAGCAGATCCTCTAGGTAGCGGTACGTAATACGAATCCAGAAAAAGTGGGCGTAGCTGCCAGCCAGGCGCGAAATGAAATCGTCTGAGCCAAAATTGGCTGAATATTAATCTAGACAACAGGAAAAGAGTGTCGAAAAAAAGGAGCGGGAGTCGTTCGCAAGCCAAAATGCGATTGAATGATCTCCGGCCGCGGTGTCCCTCGATTCTTGTGGAGCCTCGAGGTCCATGAAGGATCAAACAACCGAGAATCAAAGGTACGCACAACCTCCCATCCGTATGCACCTGCGGGTCCGCATAGAGACGCAATTGGATCGCGGCATTACTGGTAGTAGTTTAGCAGTTGGTCTCTCAGTTAGAATGTGCGTTGGGACCAAGGATTCGGGACGACAGAAAGGAACAGTGAGAGCTAGAAATTGATTGGCATCTCAGCGATAGCCGTACATCGAGAGCAGGACCAGTTCGATCCACCGATTTCGGACATTGCGCAATCGAGAAGAAGACAAACTTTGCCCAATCCGGGAAGAAGAAGCAAAAACACCCGGTCAGAAAACAGATTATCATTGACGCAAATCCGGCTACAGGACATCGAGATCGTGAGTAAGAGAGTAACAAGATACAAGCCGGCGTGCAAGGAAGAAAGGAACCACAGACAACGCCGCTCAAAAAAGAGAGGGAATCGCAAGGGAGAAGGACGCAAGCTGCCGAGGAGAGCAAATAAAACCGGCAGCGGCGAGCGAAGGGATGCTGGTCGCGAGTACCAGCGGGCCCAGACAACGGGGCAACACCGCCCGAAACAAAACGACAAAAGAGCACGAACATGAACATGAAGCTTCCAAGAGGGAAGAAACGCGTCCGGCAGACAGCTGGGCAGAGAAGACGAAGGACGGCGTTAAGATGTGCATTGCGCAAGAAGGATCCGCCCCTCGCAACGCAGCAAGTACACCACATACTCGCGCACCTGCAGCAGTATCCGTGCCGTGCCGCGCCGCACATGAACAGGAACAAACACCGAAAAAAATCGAGCCCCACCGAGGGAGGGAGGTCGAAGGGGTACTTGATACCCCGACAAACGAGAACGAAAGGGGGGAAAGTGGAGTTAAAAAGAAGGCAAGCGCAGGCTATAGCACACACGCCGCCGACCGGCTGTATCGCTGCATCGAACCCCGGAACCGTGCGTCCCAGTAGCAGGACACAGGGAGGCGGAACGAACAGAGTGGTAGTGCGCGCTGGAGCGTAGAGATAGCCAAAGAAAAGAAAGAAAGAAAGAACTAGGATCAGTGCGGTTGACTGGATCGCTCGATGTGAGGCTTACGCGCTACCGCCGATGCGAGCTCGCATGCTGGGAGGTGTGCACAGTGCCGGGCGGGTTGGGGATACTGTATTTTTTCGTTCAATTCGTCAGTCACGCGTCACGGAGGCCCTTGACGGCGCCGAATATTGGTCGGAGGAACGGGTCACCGGGGGCCTTGACGAATACAACTTTTGTCACGGCCTGTTCAAAATTCTGTCCGGAGGCCCAAAAACCAATTTTTCCCTGCCACAGGCTCTTTTCAAACAGTTTCCGGTAGTCCAGACACAATGTGAGCTGCAAAATGTCCAATTGCGGCCTCATAGATGCAAGACACGAAGGAATTTATAGGTTGCCCGGGCTTTTTTGACCGAATCACCATTACACTAACCCGCCCCTTGAATCCATCATGGCTAATGCCAGCAAACACATTTCCCTGACCCCGGAGGCACTCCTGAGGGCCGGCGAATTTTTTCGTCTTGTCATGGTCGACCTGGGCGACTGACGAGGTGCCGAACTGGTTGAAAATGTCACGCGTCACACCCAGCGCCGAATTGAATGAAAAAATACAGTACTGTGCGGGGCGATTAGTAAGTAAGATTGAAGTAAGAACGAAAGAATGAAGGAAGAAGAGGAGGTATGAAGGAGGGCGAAGGGGGAGGGAGGGCAGGGCAGGGCAGGATGGAAATGGAAATGGAAATGGAAATGGAAATGGAAGGGGTAGGGGTAGGGGTAGGGGGAAGGAAAGGGAGGGACGGCGGCGGGGAAGACAGTAAACCAACAGTAAACGGTCAAGTATAGCAGAACCAAGATAGTAAAGTACGCACGATGATCTGCACCCCGCGATCCCGCGGCACCACCACACACGCCGCCGGCCCTGTGGTTTTTTCTTTCTTTATGAGCTTGATTACTACTCGAGCCAGCCATTCGTACGCCGCGTATAATACTCGAGGCCACTCCCCGTACACTTAGGCGGCCTCTGGGGCCAACTCTAAGAGAGGGAGGGCAGTCGTCGATATCGCTCGTTTTAGATGATGGTGGTCGGGATCACTATGAATACGAATACAGCTGCAGCTGTGTCCAGGCAGCACCAGTGCCGCTGGATTCGATTGGGCGATGACGGGGCGGGAAACAGAGCTAGAGTGCTTTGACGACCGGCTATCGCCGACCCGGTATGAGCCGAGGCTTACGAAAGATGACACTGTCGTCTGATCCCCCGTCCTCCTTGCGACAAACGCTCATGCGCGCCTCATGCGCGCCTCGTTGCGTTCCTAGCTTCACCCCTTTTGTTCACCCCGCCCCTGGCTCTGCTCTGCGCTGTCGCGCTTCAAATGCGCCGGGCGGGGGTACGATATGGATAAATTGGTCGCTTCCTGGCGATCCCCAAGTTCCTCACGGATTCACCTCATCCCTCAAGCATGCAACCCGGACCTCCACCTCAATGACGCGGGCCCATTGTTTTGGCCCCTCTGCGCAATCTTAGGCCGTGGCGCAGGTCCGACTCCTCGAGGCCGTTGATTTCTCCATGTTTAGTGGTTGCCGTACTCGAGTTACCTACATGCTATCCGCGACGCAATGGGTCGGGAGTACCGGTCTCGGTACTCCACCGCTTGCCTCCGGTGCCTTTTGGTTCGGATCTCTCAACATCTTTCCGCACTGGTCGTCTTCATTTTCCATCGTCGCATCGACAATGTTGTCCGCTTCCTAATTTTGTCTGCTTCCTAAACGGTACTCCTTTCGGCCGAAGTCTCTTGACACAACACAACTCCCTTCGCATGACGCACGCACGACTTTCTCATTCCTAAATCTTCATTCTGGAGCTTGGTCTTCCCCTCGGATTAATTAACCTACCCTGTCACCACGGACCACTTTCTCGTTACGATACGCGGCGGGTTCTGGGGACTCATTCCAAAACTCCGTCGCAGCTATATTCCCCAATGCTCGCCCGAGCGGGAATGATCATGCCAATGTCTTTTCCGACATGTACATCGCAACGGTCATCAACAAATAGGCGCACTCCCCAAGCCAAGTTCGGCGGTTGCCGTGAATATTATGGACTTAACTGCTATCCGCGACGTACCTGCTCGGGGTTCACGCCCTCCGTCACCTTTGTCTTACCTCATTGCGCTGGATTCACACTTCCAGCCATGTTATTGTCTTGGGTACTCAATAGGCTATTCCATGCGGAATCTACCGGTACCAGCAGCCGCCTTCTCCGTGCTCAGCCGATTTCCTTGTACCTTCCGACCCGCATTCACCCTCGCAGTACGCTTCTAGATCCTCGTGATCCGCCCGTTTCCTTTTTTTTGACGTCCTCAATCAACCCTCGTCCCCGCCCTTTCGTGATTCGAGCTCTATCAGATATGATGACGCACGCGGATCTCTCGGCCGGTACCTCTGTACCTATTCTCGGCTCGCTATTCGTGCTTGTTCCCCTCCTCCCTCAACGCCACCGTTATTTAGAACCAACTCCATCACCAGACCCCACGTGTATCTACTCTTTTGAATTCGCGCCTCGTCATCCGTTCGGCGCCCGCCTTGCTCAGTCCAGCCAAATTTGAGCCCACAAGTCAGCGCTCACGACACCTAAACCAGAATCTAAGGTATCTGTCTCCGGCGCCCGGTGTATCGTAGCGTGGTCCTGCATGCTTGGAAGCACCGAATGCAAGGAGTGATCTCCGCTTCGTCCTCTCTCTGGAAGCAACTGCGATGACCACATACATCGCCTCCTGCGTCGTCCCCACTCAGGTTGCACTGAATCCGTCCCAAAATCGTGTCCAACAAATGATCCGATCCACCCCGACAGCGCCTCTAAAGATACTAATCCTCGTCCTGCGCCCTTGTAGTCACCCTAATCCCTGATCATATAGCCTAATTCCCGATATCCCAGCGACCAACGCCATCTCTGGCTTCCGTGTAACACCCAGCCTCGGCTGATGCTTGTCGTGATTCAGATTCCCTGGCTATGCATGATGCCCATCGTCTTTGTCCGCCGGTACCTCTTCCTACCGCGCGCTCCGGTGATTTTTATAATTTATTCTCGTCGCAGTACGCTTCAAGTGGCATGAGGCAGGTAGAACACTGGACGGCTGCTTTTGTATCTATTTGACCGCCGTGTCTTCAGTCTCCAGTCCCCGATTCATCAACACTCCCACCCACCCCACCCCAACATGTGTATGTACTTCGTTACTCGGTTCGCTCGGAGGTGCCTTCTCGCGTGCCATCGCTGCTTGGATGCAAAACCTGTACGCGCGAAACGGGTTGATCATGCACCTACCCTGCGCCATCGGTTGGTCCGACTCGGATGTGCTATGCGTCTTCTCACCTCCCGTCTTCCTACCACGCTCAAAGTCCGACAACCGTTTTCCCTGATCTCATGTCCTTGTAGAAGGCTTTTGGGGGGCCCAGAATACACACGTCCTCGGCCGGTCTGTTTGGAATTGGGTGATTCTTCTCTGTCCTCAAGGCTGCCCCCTCCTCACCGACATATTAAATCACTCACTCAATTCTACTCGACGCGACACCACCCTATAAGTATTCTCCCCTTTCGGTTTAGCCGTTGGACGTGCGTATAATAATAATATACCAAGTTCCAGTACGCTTCTTGCCTTCCCAGCGTCAGGTGTCACCTGGGGATCGTCACTTTCCATGGCCGCCTGGCGAAATGGCATCGCGTCTGACTACGACAGGGGACTAACCCGCTGATTACGTCATCAGGAGATTGCAGGTTCGACCCCTGCGGTGGTCAATTGTTTTGCTCTTTTACAGCCTCAGAATCCTTCCTTTGAACCCGTTTTTCGAGCCCAGAAGACTGGCGAAGCCTTGGGGGGGAAAATTGCCAAAAAAGCACTAAGTCGAAAGGGGGAACGGACTTGTGATTTTTTCCTCGCATCTATTGCCTAAAGTTGGTTGCCCTGGCCTAGTTTGAAAATTTGAAGGGTCAAACAGGTCGTGTATGAAGGACAGGGCTAGCGAAGTGAAGTTGAGTACTGGAGAGACACGCCATCACACGATCAATTCGCTCGGCAGTTGCCGATCCTTCTTTCCTCCGTACCACCATCATCGTTTCTGCATCTATCGTCTGTCTCTCCTTCCAGTCCATCAGCATCTGAACGGATGCTCTGTTCGACAACTGCTAGCTCATTCTTCCTCGGGACTCGACATCCGCGTCTTCGCACGGCGAAAACTGCTGAGCTGCTGGGAATTTTTTCCTTGTCTCCTGCGGCAAGAGGATGCGCCTATAGATTCTCAGAGGCCTTCAATCGCTCGTTTTGATCCATCGGAAGGCACTCAACCATCGCTGGACTCTATCCGTGACGCGATACCATCATCCAATCTCGCTCACTGGAATGCCACCTTTCGCGATATCGCGCCCGATTACGCGTGGCTCAGTGCCCGTTCCTCGCCGGACTTGTCGAATCCCTTCCTCTTGATGTGTTGTATCCTGTTCCTGCGCGCCTCGTTGTGGCTGACTCGAGATTAATTCTGACCGTCTCTGGTAGTAGTCGGGCCACGGGATCTTCCTTCGACGTTATGTATTCTCTGTGGCGGGACTTGTCTTCCGTCAGCCTCGCAAGTTGAAGATGCTCACAACCTCCTTTATCTTTACACGTGCGCTCCCTGTTGTCTCCGCAACTCTCACCCTTTTTCTCGGTTCAAGCGAAAGAACACCGCTGAAACCTCCTCCTTGGGCACAAAACACACGGCGCGTTGACTGAATGGGTTTGGATCTCATCTTTTCACGGGGAATGCTCCGGATAATGACACGCTAAGACTTGACTTTCATAAAGGATCGCAGAACGACAAATAGCGCGGGAATCAGAATTCAATGCGCCCGCTTTGCTTCTTTGCGAGTTTCCAGAAGTATCCGCCGCTTTTGGGTCCGCCTTGGAGCCTGAAGGAACTGGACGTGGGCGAACGAGAAATGTCCGGACTCCGCCTTCCTATTGCCTACGTTCCAGGCACATCCAAGATTCTCGCTATACTCCGAGTCGTGTCCTCACCCCTATTGCTTGGTGCCAAACTACTCAGTAGCCATGGGTCCATTACAGCCGTGCCTGTTGAGTGGCACTTCTCGCTACTGGCTCCGGAATTTGGGGTCTCAATGGATACATCTCGCGTCCAGTCAAGTCTCGAGCCACCCTCGCTTTACTGTTTTATACCCTTTCGACCTCGACCTCCCCGAATTCCGCGATGATGCTCGGCAGCGTGCGCGTATCGTATATCCCGCCTACCGAAGCATCCACGTACACAGCTGCCACCACAACCATCTGTCAAATCGCAGCCACCGCTTTATGCGACGTTTCTCGCTTGCGGCTTTTGTCACAGTGTCCGCCACACATCGAGTGAGTCTACTTATCACGCAGTATCTTGCTAGTCTGGTTGCCATACTGAGTAGGGAATAACCGCGTCCTCACATCGAAATGTCCCGTACGATTCGGACCAGAGAACAATCCCAGGCACCTGTTCGCGACCTCTTCGCCCGGATCGAGAGGGTGCGATGGAAAACCTGATGGAACCACCGTTTACCCGACAGCGCCGACTGTTTGACCATCATCGGAACGTGGAGATTTGCCTCTTTGTCTCAAATATCCGACTGCGGGGACCTGCCGAAATCTCACAGCAGAGCCGTTGCCTATTGACGCCGAACGATCTGAAGAACGTGCCGAAAATCCAAATTGCCATTACGCCGGCGTGGCTGGGAAGAGTAACGCCTCGAAGCGTCGGGCCCACTCTCGTGGACACATCGGACTCTGTTGGCGTGTCGAATCAGTGACATTTCTGAAGCCTAGCGCCAGGCCAAATTCTCGGATGGGATTCCGTGGTACGGCACGCAATTTGGACATACGGGATAAACACAGCGCGTTCTCAAAATACTGGACCGCAAGCCCGTCGAATTTCATCCAAATTGGCTCGCTGCACGGTACGACTGGTATGTTGATGTTGTCCCACGCTGCCGGCGCTCCCGTCTGGGGAAACCGACCAGCAGCGTCATTCCTCGATGTCCTTCCACCTGCGACTGCAATCCTGCTCGCCGTCCGTGTCCAAGCAGCACTTCCGGCTCCTCTCTGCGCACTTAACCCCTCTTGAACTTCTCTATCATCTACGCTGTTGCAGCACGGATGCTTGCCATCCTGCACATATAGTTGGAGTCGTGCAGCAGGGCACAGTGCGAGCTGCTGGAGTCTGCCTGCTTTTTGTAGCTCGCTATCCCCAGTTCAGCAACCTTGGCCACACTTCCCACTCTCGCCTGAAACGTGCTCTATCGCAATCCACCGTCTTTCAGGGAGCAGTTGGAGGAATGGCCAAGTCTGGGGTCAATTCTCAGTGCGCAGTGATATTCTTTATCTGTCACTTTTCTCATTCGCTCCGTTCGTCCAGCATCACGGTTCCGCACGGATTTCTTCAAACGGCCACCTGCATTCAATCTCGACGTCCGCGGCAAAACTCTTGTGCGTCGCGGCCCGCCATCATTTCCTCTTTTTTTCCTCTTACGCCTTTCAGGTACCTTCGATGTCTTCTTCCCCTCGCGACCGCACCAGGAACTTCTAAATGCTCGCAAAATGCTGCTGTCCCTACCTTCCGCCTCCGCGTCGCTCCTCACGCACTTCCGCCGGACCCCGTGTACACTTTCACGCTCTCACGAACACCACAATCACCCACATCCCCTCGTTTTCGCACTCGGGCTGGATCGGACACAGGTGCTAGGCTTAGATGTAGTGCCGTGGCTGCCTGCAGCCTCCCGGATTGCTGCGCTGTGGGTAACATCTATGTTGTCGTGCTTAAAGCCAGCTGAAACATTTACAGGTGTTGAAACTCCTTCGTTACTTGTATACCCACGTCTCGCATTTGATCCCTTGTTGACCTTATTCATTCCCTCCTCTCCGTGTTGCGTTCATTCTCGTCAACTGCACCACAACGCTATTTTGTTGCCAATCAATTATGTACTGTACCTGAAATGTGCTTGAGACTACATGATGTTCGGGGGGAATGATAGCGGGCCCTGCCGCGGCACGCGGGCTACTACAGTTATACCATGAAATCAACTTCGGCGTTTTCCGTTCGGCAAGAGGCGACCTCACATGACGTGACTCAGCTCTTCCTCGTTGCGACCATGATCGTTTGCTCAAACTGCGGCCACGACAGTATTGAGCCGGTACCACTGACGGCTTCTTTCCACGGCGTGGATGACGCTTCCACCCCTCATCTGCGCGCGCAGTTGGACCAAGTGAAGTCCTCAATCATGCGACACACGGCATGTCTCAAGGAGCTTAGATCGGCGGTTCTACGACAGCAGACATACCTCGATACCCTGGAACAGCAGCGGAAGGACGTATTGATGCAGCTCGCTCATGCTGAATACCCTGTTCTCACTGTGCCGGCGGACATCGTGTCCCGGATCTTCGTTGCATGTCTCCCGGATTATGCGCATGGCAGGGTTCGCCCTTCGGCTGGGAAGCCTCCGCTTCTTCTAGGTCAGATCTGTCGTCGGTGGCGGGGGATTGCCATCTCTTCGTCCGAGCTTTGGACCTCGGTCGATATCTTCTTCCCCTACTTCAGACAGAGGGAATATTGGCCTTGGGCATTCCCCTTACTCGAGATGTGGCTTTCCCGTGCGAATGGAAGGCTACTCTCCGTCACAATGCGCTCACCACGCGCAAGGCTCACGAGACCAGTGATCTCACTTCTTTCCTCCGTTGCGGAACAACTTCACACCCTGGAACTCGACCTTCATTTCCAGGACTTCCAGCATCTCGCTCGGGGCTGGAAAAATAGGAGATTTCCTAATCTTAAACGCCTGGAAGATTTTTCGGGGCTGAACCATCCTTCCCTGTCGGCATCCTCGGAGCCGCGACCCATGTCCGACCGCTACCCATCTTTGACCGCTGTCGAACTTGGCTATACCGACGTCCACACCATTTCTGGCATATTTCAGCAGTTCCCCGGATTGTTGCATTTGGGCGCAACTGCTGGAGACGAGCTTGATGCCCGAACGGTATTCGCCGCGCATCTGCGATCCTTATCTCTTCGTGGCACCAACCTTGCTTCGTTCACTCTACCCGGCCTATGTCGTCTGGAACTCCACGCTGCTGTCGGCTTTGACCCAGCGCACGATGATCCTCCCATCATGTTTCCGACCTTGCTCTCATTCCTCGCACGATCTTCGTGTGTCCTTGAACATCTCGCTCTCGATCTTCGTTGTAGCAAGGAGCGAGACGGGTTTATTGCTTGTCTGCAGGTCGTAACTGCTCTCACATCCCTCACCATCAACGTTGGCTACGACGATTCCGGGTTCATACAGTCGCTCAGCTCAACCGCCCCCGTTCTAACGCAGCTTCGCACTCTGAAGGTCTCCACCATTTATGAGAAATTCGACTACTTTGGCTTCCTCCGGCTAATACAACTGCGACGCAACGATGTTGGGCCCTTCGCTTGCTTAGCCTCTGTGCGGGTCAGCTTCGAGGAATATGCCTTTGACTTGGGTGTAGAACACGAGAACTGGCTCCCGGAGTCGGTTAAAGAGGAGTTCGCCAGGCTCGTCACGCAGGGGTTGAGGTTGGTGGTTACCTTTCGCGGTTACTGTTGGCCTGAGGGTGACAAGGGTTCGTCTATGGGTCTCTGTCAACGGCAATGTGGCTTACTCAAACTCACAGATGTTTGCGAAACCTTCCCGTATGTTGGTGTCCTCTGAGCCACGGCGGTTTTTTGAAACGAGAGGCGTGCCTGGGGTAGTTGGTGAATGTCCGC